GCATAGGCTAGGAATATCCGGATGGCCTCAAGTCTTGCGACGGGAGCAAATGTCTCATTGTAGTCAATCCTTTCTTCCTGGCAGTAGCCCTTGGCAACAAGCCTGGCTTTGTTCCTTATGACTATGCCATCTTCGTCCTTCTTGTTTTGGAAGACCCATTTGGTTCGATGAAGCAAGCATGGTCCTTGCTGTCTCCACGAGGGTTCTGTTCCTTCGTTCCACCACTCCATTCTGTTGTGGAGTTCTAGCTGCGGAGAAGTTTTGTGTAATGCCTTCACTGATGAGGTATTCATCGATTCTGGCATTTTTGAATTCAGTTCCATTTTTGCTTCTAACCTTTATTAGTTTTCGTTGTAGAAGGACTTGGAGCCTTTTCATCACTCCAATGAGTAGGTCAGGAACATCTGATTTGTTCTTTACAACTTCAACCCAGGTGTATCTGGAGTATTCATCAACCAGTACTAACATGTACTTYTTTCYARARAGACTTTGAGTTGATATTGGCCCACAGAGATCTATATGTACCATGTCCAAGGGCTTGGTGCAGGAGGTTTCTGACTTGGTTGTATGTGAGGCCCGTCTTAGCTTTCTCATCTCACAGGCTGAGCATAGATGATCTTTTTCAAATTTAAGATCCGGAATTCATTTGACCAGCTTCTGTGTGGCTAGTTTTCGTAGTCCATCAAAGTTGAGATGCGAGAACATTTGATGCCATAGCCAATTTTCATCGCTCTTATGAGACACAAGACAGAGGGTGTCTTGTCCCATAGAGGATTCAAAATCTAGAAGATAGAAATTTTCTTCTCTCTTTGCCTTGATGATTGTTTGACCGGGCTTTGTTTCTATGATACAAAAACCTTTACGGAACCTGACTTCAAGACCCTTGTCGCAGAACTGGCTTATGCTTAGTAAGTTGTGCTTCAAACCTTCAACATAAGCCACTTGCTGATGGAGATGTTTCTTTTGATGAGAGTGCCATATCCCTTGATTGTACCCTTGTTGTTGTCTCTGAAAGTCACAGAGCCTCCATATTTTTCATTGAAAAAGGACAACTGACTTTTATCACCACTCATGTGTCTGGAGCAACCTGAATCCATGTACCATGGATGCATATGTTGGTCCTGCAAGACAAATTAAGGGGTTTTAGGTACCCATTTCTTTATGGGTCCACTTTGTTAGTAAGGGGTACCACTCTCTTTTCATTACCCTTAGCCTTTGCAGGCTTGGGTTTATTGATATTTCCCTTGCCCTTGGATTTGGGCTTTTTTCACGTTTTTATTGGTTTTAACTTTGTATCGATAAACGTGTTAGGAGAATATGCAGTGATGTGTCAACATGTGATTCCTCAAGTTTTGTAAAAGAGTTAAACATTGACAGTTATGATGCTTTGGGTATGTATATCTACCGTTCTTTTTATTCGATGGAAACGAAGAAGTAAATGCAGGAGATGTAAATCCTGTCCTAGCATCGGTTGTTTTTACAAACTTCCTATCTAGTTCAGATTTTTTATTTGAAGGGGTCTTTGTCTTTACTTCTTCAGCTGAATGAGAAGAAAAGTGGTGGTTAGTTTTCTCAGAGATAGGCCAATTCTGTTTTTGTTCACGAGTAAACTTAATGAACTTGAAGGATGTACTAGGGCCTTGAGATTTATCTTTGGCAGATTTGCTATTTCTCAGCTTTCCCTTTCCTTTGTCCGAAGATTTCATCAATGGAAGAACACCAGATTTTATTGAGGGTTTGAAGTTTTGAGGCTTCTTAGTCTCAATGATCTTTGGTGATTCACATATTATCTCTTCTTCTGATTCGGAATAGAGAAAGTCTCTTGCTGATTTCTCGAAATCAAAATTAGCATGGATGTTTGTGGAAGGTGTGGGTTCAGAGGTTGATGCTTCAGAGTGATCTGTTTGAGGTTCTATCGATTCTGACTTAGATAAACTTTCGGTTTTACTCGGATGGTTCATCGACTCATCAGCTGATGGTTCCTCATTAGGATTCTCCTTTTCATCAATAGTACTTGCTGTTGAAGTGGAATTGACACCCAGAGACTCTGGTTTGACCGTAGGGTTTCCATCATTCTCTGATTTAGAGGTGTCATTCCATTCATCAGAATTCTTACATGTACTGCTCTCTACACCACATTTTCAAAATCCTGTCTTAAAACGACAGATTTTCCATCGACTTTAACTCTTTTAAAATTTGCTTTTGGTTTCGGGATAAAGTCGGGTTTCTGAATGCATCCAAGTTTGAAAGTGGATTCAAGGGTGGATTTCTTTGATTCGATGAAGGAGTCCAATTCATTGAATCCAATCCCTTGAGTGTCCGTTTGACCGTTTAACTTTTCATACACATATTGGGCATCCTTGTATATCTTCATCAGAAGTTCATTGGTTTGAAGCTTCTAGTGAAGGATCTCCCTTTTCTTTTGAAGGAAATCTTTAAGAGCAACTGAGTTTAGTCTCTCCGCCTTTGATTCTTTTAAGGCTTAATTTTCTTTTCTAAGTCCTTAGTTATTCGTTTGTTTAGTTCCAGAAGTTTTTCTTCCTCTGATTTCTTAAGTGTGGTGATGCGAGTATTTTCCTTAGCAAGTTCGGCTTTTTCTTCGGTTAGAAGATCAGTCTCTCTTTTGTAGAAACTTGCTTCTTTTTCCGCTTTTAGTCTTTCAGATTTTTCAAAATTTAATTTTTCTTTTAACTTATAGAAATCCTTTGAAAGTTTTATCACCCTTAACTCCAGCTCAGATGAAGCAGAGTTGGTTTCATTGGAAGTAGACTCACATACCTGATCATCAGAGTCGGAGGTGGGTTCTGTAGTGGATGTGGCCATCAGACAGATGAGTGCTTTATCTTCTTCATCGGATGAAGAGTTGGATACCCAATTTTCTTTCTCAGCTATCAGGCTTCGCTCTTTTGAATTGTATTTGTACTTATTCTTGTAGTAATCGGGATCCTTTACCAATCGTCCTCTACACTCTTTTGAAAAATGACCAATTTTCCCGCATCTGAAGCAGCGAAGRTCATTTTTCCTTCCGTTTTTATCTTCTTTCTTGTCCACCCTTCTGTTCTCTCTCTCTTTTCTTTTTTCTCTTTAGTCTTCCCTCTGATAGAATTTTGATGGTTTCTTCTCATGGTATGACTGATATTTCTCCTTCTTGAAGTCTCTTCGTTCATAGGGTCTCTTGATGAACTTGTTTTGGAACTGTCTTGTAATCAAGGCCAGAGACTTAGCAAAGGCTTTGATATCATCATCTGATTCAGATGACTCGTCTTCAGATTCCGATTCTACCACCATTGCTTTCTTTCCTTTCTTCTTGTGATCTCTGGTGGAGGTCTTTGATTCTTCCTTTTCATCAGCAGCAAGAGCCAGAGGTCCACCGATGGATACTTTCTTCTTCATAATGTCGTTCTCTTGTGCTACAAGCGTTCCATATACATCATGAAGTGACCAGCCGTCTAAGTCCTGATTTGCTTGAAGGGACATTGACAGCTGAGTCCATTCATTGCCAAGACTTTTTAGGAACAAAACATTGTTTTCTTCCTTTGTTCTGGTGATATCATTTCGATGACATTGATTAATCAATGTGTTGAAACGATCGTAAGTCTTCTGTATTGGTTCATCAGGAAGAGCTTTAAAGTTGGTGTATTCGTTGAGACATTGTGCTCTACGATTCTTCTTTGTTTTAGCTCCTCCTTCCAATTGGCTTGCAAGTTCATCCCACAATTCCTTTGCTGTGGAACATGCATCAAGGGATTGAAAAATTTCAATGGGAATAGCCATGATAATTAGTCGCTTGGCCTTCTTGTCAGTTTTCACACGTTCAATATCGTCTTCATCCCAGTTTTTCTCATCCTTGGGCATGTAATATGCAGGAATTTCTGCTGTGGTATTTGTTCCAGGGACTCTTGGGACAAGAGTCTGTGGAACGTAAGGACCCTCCATTATAGATCGCAGTACGTTTCTGTCCATCCCTTCCAAGAAGTTTACCATCCTTATTCTCCATTGTGGGTACTCTTCTCGTTGAAGAGTTGGAGGCTTGGTGAGGGAACCAACAGTATATGCGGAATTACAGTTGGGCATCAAGAATTTTCGAAGAGAGACAAATTTACGTTTTTTGGTGAAGATATTTCGTGAAAAACGTGAATTGAGAGATTTTGGATGATCGTTTGATTGGAAAAACAATCAATTGGCTCTGATACCAATTCATAAGTGTAAACGTAATAAAGAACAATAAGTGATGAAGAACCAGAAGACCGATGAAAACGTTAAGGCAAAATTGACCAAGTCTGAAGAACAACCAGAGGACCGATGAATCGACCAGAGATGCGATGGAAAGAGCATCTTCATCACCCCTCTGGTCAACAACACTTAGAGTTTTCTCCAGCAGTTCAACCAGAGGCATACGATTAAGATATGAAGATAAGGTTGAATTAACATCCCATGGAAGACAGCTGGAGATAACAAATCGACTGCTGGATTTCAAGTTTATCTTGATTTATAGCTTATTCATACTTTAGATAAACTTTATCAGTTAGTAGAAGATTAGCTAAATAGTCTCGCTAGATAGTTATCTTCTAATTAGCCTACTAGTATAAATAGGTGATTAGGCCTATTATAATCAACGCCGCTTTTACGTTTTCATTTAATATTGAATAAAGTGAAATTATTGGCACTCAAGATTGTTCTTTGAATGTTCATACATTGTTCTTGAGTGTTCATCATTTTGTTTATTAAAACACTATAATTTGGTTATTCTTAAATTGATTATTAGTGTTATTGAGAGATCTAGAATCAACACACATTAAGGCCTCAAGCAGAGGAAGAGGCGGTGAGAGCAGAGGAAGAGAGGGTGAGAGTAGAGCAAGAGAGGGAGAACAAAAGAAAGCGAGAGGAGAAGAGGAAAAAGAAAATAGAGAGGGAGAGAAAGAAAAAGGAAAAAGCAGAGCGAGCAGAGCAAGAGAGATTGGCTGAACTTGCCCGAAAATAAGAAGAGAAAAAACGAGCAGAAAAAGCTCGACAAGCAGAGATCGCTCGCCTAAGGGAAGAGGCACGGCTAAGAGCAGAGGAAGAAGCTCATCAATCCTCTAGCTCTAATCAAGAGGGTGACCAAGAGCATTTTGATGATGCTGCTAGGTCTTTCACTTATAGTGAGGAAAGTGAGGAGGAAGAAGAAGAGAGTGAGAGTGAAGAGAGTGAAAGTGACGAGGAAGAGAGTGAAGAAGAAGAGGGAGGAGGTGAAGCAGCTGCTTTGCCTCAAGGTGAGCTTAAGCAGCCTAGGCTAAATAGGCACATCCGTTTCGACACCCCACCTCCTAGTGCAAACACATTATCTGACTCCGGTGGTCGAAACACAGGAGTCATTAAAACAGAGGTGCACACCTCAAACCCAAACCAGCCAAACCAACCAGAGGTCGCATCTGCCTCTGGTTATGATAGCCAAAGGGAAGCTACGCCACAGGGAACGCCCTCTCAAAAAGTGCAACCTTTGAAAATATAAGTGATGTGTCTCCCTATATCACGCCACCTTCCCATATCGAGAAATTCGTTTTCTCTGCACGTGTAGACTCCCAACCTTGTTCAGAGCAAGGAATAGGTGCACAAGGCTTGGAGACTCTCGACCAATCTCTTACAGGCCCGTTTCTGGCATTTTTTGGGCCCTGGGCGATTTGTGAATTTTGGGCCCTCTATATATACAAAAAAAATCTTAAATAAATGTTTTTAATCACTAAAAAACAAACTTTCACACAATAATACTAATAATTTATACAAAACAATTCTTCGAGTATTTCGGATACAAAATCATCAATAATAGCATCTAATTCATACAAAACAACTTCTTCGAGT